GGATGGACGGATGCATGGATGGATGCATGGATGGATGGATGGATGGATGGATGGATGGATGGATGGACAGATGGATGTACATATGGATAAATTGATGGATGGATGCATGGCTAGATGGATGCATCGATGCATGGATGGACGGGATGGATGGATGGATGGATGCATGGATGGATGGATGGATGGACGGACGGACGGATGGATGGATGGATGGATGGATGGATGGACAGATGGATGTACGTATGGATAAACTGATGGATGGATGCATGGATAGATGGATGCATGGATGCATGGATGGATGGATGCATGGATGGATGGATGGATGGATGCATGGATGCATGGATGGATGGATGCATGGATGCATGGATGGATGGATGAGTGAAAAAGCATTTATCAAGTACTTGCTATATTCCAAGCACTAAGACTAAGCATTGGGGATGCAGATGTAAAAGTGAAGGCAGCCTTTATCTCCAAGAAGCCTCTATTCTAATAGAAGAAACAATACATATACGGGAGTAATGGCCAGGTACAGATCTTTTGGTTTGGAACATTCTAGGAATGGTGAGGAGAACCATTTGTTGATGCTGTTGAGTCATTTTCAGTCTTGTCCAACTCTTCATGTCTCTGTTTGGGGTTTTCTTGGCAGAGATACTGGAGTGGTTTGCCATTTCCTTCTCCAGCTCATTTTACAGATGAGGAAACTGGGGCAAAAAAGATTAAATGACTTGCCCAAGGTCACACAGTTAGTACTGTTTGAGGTCAGATTTGAAGTCAGGAAGATGAGTCTTCCTGACTCCAGGTCCAGTGCTCTATCCACTTTGCTACTTAGCTGCCCCAAGTAGAACCACAGAGTCATGGACTGACACAGCCTTTCCAGTGGAAGAGGCTGTATTGATTTAATTATGGATCCAGAAATGGAAAGTGATGAGGGACAATGAAAGGTATACAAGCAGCAAGAAGGGGGCTACCAAAAAGATGAGTGGAAAGTGAAGTGAGACATGGTTGAAGCCTGACTCACCGGGCAATGAGGATAGTGAATCCCCAGGGCAGCAGTTCCAGACCTGAAAGGGTTAAACTCTCCAGGCCATGGTCCTCAAGCCAGGCCAATGGCAGGAACATGGCCATGAAATAAAGTAACCATAGGGGAAAGGGGAAAGGCGAAGGGCTTCATCAATAACACAACCGATGTCATGACCAGGCCTGTGTCAAATAGCAACCCCATCAGACCTCTTCCATTTTATGTATGTAGGCAGGATGATCAGGTGGCTGGAGTTCCAGACTTAGAGTTAAGAAGAAAGTCTGTCTTCCACAGTCCTTGTGGGATCCTGGGAATATCCCTTCCCTTTTCTGGGCTTCTGTTTCCTCATCTCTAGCTGAGCCTTTTCCAGTCCTCCTGATGAATATCTGGCCACTGGACCCAGATGGCCCTGGAGGAGAAAGTGAGGCTGGTGACCTTGCACAGCCCTCCCTCAAATCAAAGTCAATTGCAAGTCACGTCCTCATCTCCCTGCTGTCACGGTCCTCTTCGAGAACAATGGACAAACACAGCAATCCTCATCTCTAAAATGAGAATTTTACCTCCTAGGGTTGTTGGGAGGATCAGATGAGAAAGAATTTATGTGAAGCACTTTGCAAACCTTAGATCACTATGAAAATGCTAGCTATTGTTGTTGGTGGTGGTGGTGGTAGTTGTAGTAGTGCACAGCAGCAGCAGCAGCAGGAGTACCAGTAGTAGTAATAGTAGTGACAGTAGTAGCAGCGGTAGTAAGCTGATGACTCCAAGGAAGGGTCTGAAGTTCCTCAGGATCAGTAGAAGGGACTGAGGACTCCAAGCCTGGAGCAGAAAAGACTCAGGGGAGCCATGACAGTTGCATCCAAGTATCTGAAGGGCTGACATTTGGATGAGGCACAGGCTTGCCCTCTTTGGCACCAGAGGACAGTGCTAGGAGTGACAAGTGCAGTTGTAGGGGAGCTGGATTTAGGGGTGATGTCAGGGGAAATTTCCTAAACTGACAGCTCTCCCAGTGTGGAGAGGGCCTGCCTGAGGGGCGGTGGGGCCCTCCTCACTGGAAGGCTTCAAGCCAAGGCTACTGGGATGAATTGTTGAGGGAATTCTTGCTGGGCTCCAGGTTACACTAGATGCCCACTGAGGACCCTCCCAACTCTGCAATTTCATGGTTCTAAACTGGTTACTGTTGCCCTTTTTGCCTTGTTTCCTTTAATTTTTAATATTTTCCTCAGTTTGGAATTTTTATTATTTTTCTTAATCTAAGAATAAGATACATCTAGCAGCAGATGGATTAGATCACAGGAGTTAAAGCATTTCTCCTCATTATATCTGATATTATTGTCACATGCAAAGTGAGGGATTGAGACAGCAGCCCAGCTGGGTAACTCATGCCAGAAAAATCACTTTTATTTAAAATATCCAGAAACATTTTTTTGTTTGAATTGTTGGTGAAGTGGAAAGTCCATTGGTTTTCAAGTCAGATGATCAGAGTTTGAATCAGAACTTTGCTTGGTACTTGTGTGATCTTGAGCACATTTTGCTCCTTTTGGCCTGTGAGAGGATTGGACAAGAAGACCCCTAAAATCTCTTCCAGATTTAAATGTCTGGTCCTTCTACAGAAGCCTCTTGCTGTCCATAAGGATAAAGTTCCTTGGTTTGAAAAGTGGATACAGAAGGCACCAGTTTTAGGGTAACCGGTATCCATCAATCTCTTTTGGAGGTGAGAATTCTTGCACATTTCACAAAAACCATTATCTTCTGACTGAGTGTTAGACTAGATGACCTTTTAAGTGCCTTCTGTTTCTAAACCTGTGATCCTGTGAATCTACCATGTGCCCTTGGACACCTCTCAGAGCCTCAGTTTCCTCATCTGTAAAATGGGTTTTAAAATAGTGGTAGTCCCTCCCTCACAGGGGCATTGTTGCTCGCGGCCGTAAAGCGCTTTGCAGGCTTCCACTTGCTATAGAAATGCCTGTTTCTGTCATCATCATTATAATTATTATCATTTTCTTGCACCCCCTCCCACTCCCTGAATGTATAGACATACGGTAGCTAACAATGCGTGATTGATGGAGAGTTCTGTCTGTTCTCTTGGCTCTCACACAAGAATGAGAGCATTAACAAGGCCCTCTGGGTTGTAAGAGATCAGATGTGGGGAGGTGGTACACAAGCAGCAGGCTGGTGCATCTTTTTTCCAAAGGCGCCATCATTCTTCACGTCTATGACCACCAGAACAGCCTTGACAACCTTCAAGGTCCCTCCTGGCTCCATGTCTCTAGTCCCATGACCTACATCCTACTGACATACAGTCAGGTCCCTTCCCTTTATAACCGGGGTCGCTGGGCACTTCTCTAGTGAAGCTGCCAGGCTCAAGGGCACCCGTATTAAACATGATCTGGGGAAACTGGCAGATATACACGCGGAGCTGTGATACGTGAGGATTGAGTGGGTCGAGGCATCATGAGGAGCTCTTATTTATATTTAGCAGCACACAGATGAATAGATAAAAGAAATAAGCAGAATTACAAAGAAAAGATGTGAGCACAGCTGTGGGGAAAGCGGACATTGGAATTAGAGCATTGGCATGGAGCTGAATGGGCTTTTCTTCTCGGAAAAACATGTTCTGTATGTATGCTTTACACAGGGTATCCTGTTTAAATTAAGTTTCTATCAATTCTTTAAGTGGTTTCTCCCCAAATGGGCCTCTCCTCTGAATAGAAAAGGTAGGTTTGTTTTGCAGAAGGCGTGGGATCAGAGGGTTCAAACTGGAAAAGACTTCCCAGGGCATCTAGTGGGTAGAACTCCAGACTTGGATTCAGGGAGACTCGGAGTCATCCATACTCTGCCTTTAACATTTACATACTCTGTGACTCCAGGAAAGTTACTTAACCTATCAGCCCCCATTTCTTTATCTGCAAAATAAGGGGGTTAGAAGGAGGAATCTTGTCTCGTTGTCAGGATAATGAACTATTTCATAGGCCCTCAGTCTCTTAGAGATTTTATTTTTATTTCATTTTGACAAACATTTATTAAAGACTAGATACTATGTTAGGTGCTGATACAGAGTCAGAAAGGAGATACCTCCTGCCCTCAAGAAACTTACAGTTTACTGAAGGGAAGCCACACATACACAGATAAGGAAATACAAAGTAATTTAAGTAGGG